AGGAGGAGGAGGAGGAGGAGGAGGAGGAGGAGGAGGAGGAGGAGGATCAATTTGAATTAATGAAACGAAGTATTAAATGATCTTTAATTTTTTTAACAAATTTACAGATTTGATATATACATTAAAAACTTTGAATTCAATGGTTGAATCATTAAAATTTGATGTAAAACATGAATTATTAAATGGAGTAACTTTAGGTCTAGGTAAACACACACACACACACACACACGCACATACACAGCACACACACGCACACACACATACACGCACCGACCGCACGCACGTACGCACACCCACCTTGCACGCATTTACGCGCATGCACACACACACACACCCCGCACGCATATACGCGCACGCACGCACGCACCGACCGCACGCACGCGCGCGTGCGCACACACACAGACCCACCACACGCACACACGCGAATCGCTTTTGCTTTCTTTTCCTCTGGCTACTAAGATGTTTATGTTCACTAGGTTGTCTCTTGCCTGCCCATGGATTCAGTAGCAGTTCGAAAGGTTAACCTATATCGGGAATCCCCAGATCTACGCTTGTTTTCAACTCCCCGAAGCATTGTATATATGAAAATATGATCTTTTATATATATATATGTATGTATGTGTCAAGAAATAATTGAGTCATAAGTCAGATTATACCAACAGAAAGATGTATCTAAATCAATGTTGCTCTACAACATGAGATTATATTTTGTTATAATTAATCCTTCAAATTTAAGATAAATTTATTTTGAACCCCTCAAATTTAAAATTGATATTTTTAGTCTTGTAATTTTAAAAAAAAATCTTGTTTTAATTCTTTAGGTCACCAATAACATATATGAAAATGACAAATTGAGACAATTATACAACATTAATTGGGTTTAATATGATGTTTTCACTAACAGTAACACTAGTAGCTAGACTTTATATGATAATATTTGACAAATATTCTAATAAAATTTGAGTGTAAAAGTTAAAATAAGATTTTTTTTAAATTACAAGGACTACAAAGATCAATTTTAAATTTGAAGAACTAAAAACAAATTTACTTTTAAATTTAAAAGACTAAAAACATATTTAAATATTTTATTTTGATGGAAAATGACGCATACAAAATATTAAGAGAATAATAAGGTGATTTGATTTTAAAACTAATCTCGTAATTGAAATTAGCTAAGCTAGTTAATGAAGATGGATATATCGTACCATGCGATGGAATTCCTCCATATTTGGCATACAAATTTATTTCATGAATACAACATACTACATACGACAAGTGACGATTCTTCAATGTGTCTCTTATTGGGGAAGCTTATTGAATTTGCGATAACGATACTCAGCAAAGGTTTTTGTTGAATACTTGGATGGGTTTTGATGATTAACGAGCGAAGGGACAGGTCCTATGACCTCTTCATGTGGAGGCACAACAAATACTGCCCATGACATGCGCATTTCTTCTTTGTTCACCAAACTTCTATGTAAAACACTCTTGTACTTTCCATTGCTTAGTATCTATACCTCAAAAAGAGAGAGAGAGAGAGAACATCAAAGGGTCTCTTTAATTACAATTAGGAATTCTAGAGCTGCAATATTCAACACATTTTTCATTTCAAGAAAATATATATATACTACCACCAGTTCTTTTCGTATATGTATGATTTTATAAGACAATATTCACTTTTATTTATTTGCCATTTTAAAACAGAATTAATTACTGTTTTTCGATCATACTTTTAATAAAATGGAAAGAAAAAACAATAGTATATTAATTATCAAATAAATAATAAGAGAGATGAATAACATGTATTAAAATATTATAAATAATTAGTATTTTAACATGTGCATTTTATAGGTTTAATGTTTATTATATAACTACATTTTACTTTAAATTATATATAAAACAAATATTATATTTGAGTTTATAAAATATACTTAAAATTTATATAAATAGATATTTTTAAACATATAAATTATATTTTTTTATTTAAGATAAATATTTTATATTGCACTACAAGATTATTGATAATTTATTTTAAAAATGTTAAATTTTAAATAATAAATAATATGATAAATAAAAAATTAAATTTTATAAAAAGTTAAAAGAATCCATAAAAATTCTTTGAAATATAGTTCTTATAAACACTCTCATGCCGGTTAATCATTCACGTTTATATATATATTCAAATAAAATAAAGAAATAAATTACTTCTATTAATCGATATATTATAACAAACAAAAAAATAAATTCCTATGGATAATAAAGAGTAACAATTTTACTATTGCAATTCAACAAATAATAATATTGATATACTTAAAAGGAAGCATTAATTTCAACTTGCGTTATTAACATTTTTCTTGTGAGAATTGATGTATAGAAATATGCTTTCTATTATTCTTTTTAAAAACTCTCTTATTTGTTGAAATTTAGGTAAATTCCATTAAATATATTGTCACTTTTCTAAATTAATTAATGAGAACTACATGAATTTCAATCTACTAGAAAGAGTATGTTAGATAAATAGAATTCAAAAGAATATGTTGTTAATGCTTATTTATATTTATATGAGTTACAACAAAATTATGTTGTCCTAATATTAATTAGATTTTCGTAGTTTTGTATTAATGCAATCCACTAAAACATCAATCTAGCTACTTTACCTCAAGTTGATCTCCAATGTGTATCAAGAGTGCATTTTGCAAGTAATTGACCGCAACCCAGGAATCATCCTTCCAAACTTGGAGTCCTGGAACCTCATTTGGGATGAGTAGAGTAAGGGCACTCATGTCAGTGTGAGGCTCAACTCCCAAAGCCAATTGTGGTTGTGGACATGGTGGGTACATATTTATCTTCATTTCTAGTTCTATTTCTTCATTTCCCAAGCTTGACTTCAAAATATTCCTCTCCAACCCTAACCCTTCGGACAAAACCTCCAAAACCTTATCTGTTACCCTTAACATCTCGTTGTTGTATTCTTTTGTAACTTCCCTATCATACACATAGATAATGTATGCAATTACAAAATTGTTCCTTGCTTCAAATTGTGATTCATCTTTAATATATGTAACGACAATTTCCAAAATAATTTGTTCATTATATTGATTTCTTTAGAAAATCCCTGAGAGGTAATTACTTTTTCAGCTTTATACACTTTTAATATAAATAAATGCAAGACCGGTAACAAAATCAATATTTGGATTTTCCGATTAAAGATAATTTAGTCAATTAAACTTTTTTTTTTTTAATGAACATGGTGTTTATATAACAGAAAAACTTAAGAAGCATTTGAAATAATAACAAGCCAGATAAGGTCCTATTTAGATTAACTTCTTAGGTTCAAATCTAATTGGTATATATATATATATATATATATATATATATAAGTGCTACATTTCAAAAATACTTATATACCTTAACATTTCCTGCTTCTTTAATGGCGTAAATGATCTTATCTTGATC